AATTATAAATTTGTATTTCTATTTTTAATATGTTTTACGTCATATTTGTTTAAATTTTATGAAATCCAATAATTTATAAGTTTTGTAAATTTTAAATTTAATATTCAACTTCTAAAATAATTAAAAAGTAAAAAAAATAACAATTAAACTGATCATTAGAACACATCATGACATACTCTAATGATGCTCTAGTATCATCTATATTCAGATACTTTTATTTTTCTTTGTTAATTTTCTTTAATTTATGATTTTTTTTTTGATATTAAGATATCCACATGATTTTTTTCCTTATTGGACATAATCTTGGTCACAAGACAAGAATAAAAAAGTCTAATAATATAACTTGCCTTTTGGCTTGATAAATGATTTTGTCAGCCTTAAGTAATAAAAGATTCTCCTTTCTATTTGATTGACTTTTGTCAGCAAATAAGATAAGCCAATAGATTTTGTATCATCTCCAACCCTCCACGTGGATGTGTACCTAGACTGCCTACATAAAGTAATCAAAGGAACTCAGAAGAAGAAAATCCTAAAATAAGACTCCGCCGATGATGATGCTGAAGCAAACAGCGAAGAAGACTTTTCTAGGACTACGGAATTCGACGGCGGGGTGTCGATTCTACCACGAGAATGTTATAGATCACTTTGAAAACCCTAGAAACGTTGGGTCCTTCAAGAGGGAGGATCCCAACGTTGGCACATGACTGGTTGGAACACCTGCCTGCGGTGACTTGATGGCCCTCCAGATTAAGGTCGATGAGTCCGGTCACATCACTGACGCTCGATTTAAAACCTTTGGCTGTGGTGCCTCCATCGCCGCTTCTTCCGTCGGTATGCTTTTATCATTGAGCAGATTTGCTTCTATTTTTTTTTTTTTAAACTCAGATATTTCCTTATATTTCTTTTTCAGCTTCTGAATGGATCAAGGGCAAAACAATATCTGAAGTTGTGACCATTAAGAACTCGTAAGTGCCCTTCTAGACCTTGACAATACTCTACCGTAGCTCTGTTTCTGTTACTGGAATCCAGTCTAGCTAGTGATATGATATTTAGTTTTAAGCTTTGATCTAATGTATGATGATGATGACATGATAGATTCATTGTTTTGAATTTCTCAATATTACTAGTTTGTGCTCTAATTTTCCAGGGCAATTGCAAAGCATCTTCGCTTGCCTCCTGTCAAGCAGCATTGCAGTATG